TGAAGTAGTTTGTGTTTTAGCCAGTTCATAATATGAGCCAAGGAATAAGGCTGTATTGACTTTCAATACTCTTTCCGCACAAAAATGTCTTCTTGATCTTCTAATTTAGTTATTATGCTATTGCTTCTTCTATTGTAAATATTTAACATTGCAAAAATATCAAAAATATTAACTGATGCATGGCCATCAATTTTTACATTTTTAAATTATTGCACTCAAAGTAAAAAGAAGTTGTTAATTTTTTATGTTAACTAATTAGTACACCTAAAATGGGAGGAAGAAAGAAAAATCATGGAACTCACTGATCTCTTTACTACAATTTCACACACTCGTATTATTCGGGTTTTAAATTTCATTATTTTTAGTTTCCTTTTTTTCTAATTTTAAAAAATAAATAGATGAAAGAGGCAATATGAAGCAAATCACTTAATGTAATCCGAAATTTCCACTTATCTTTCTAGTCCTTCTTTTGAATTAATAATAATACATTTCAAAATATTAACATATAAAAATTTGACCTTTTTCTAATCTCTATTTTATATGAATTGTATCAATTATAGTTGTTTTTGATTAACAATTAAGTACTTAAATGAACGTTAAAATGTTTTTTTCATAATAAATTCTTTTTTCTGCTATTTACCAAATGCTTCAAATTTCTTCTTGCACTTATCAATATATTATATTGTCATTTCAATCTATCTTTATCAGATCAGTGTATTGTCATTTCAATCCATCATTATCAAATCCTAGCAGCAGTTTTCAAAAACAAAAAAAGAAAAAAAAATCTCAAAACTTTAGAAATCTGCCAGATAATAAAATGATAAAAGAAGATATGCACTATATGGGAGCCTAATTTTTCTCAATAAATTTCAAGAAGGACAGGCGGAAAGTTTTTGATATAAACTGAAAAAAGCATTATAACAAATGCGATACTAACAGTTGTCAACATTTTCTATGATTTAAAGTAACATGAATCATACATTTATTTCCAAAAAATTGACACGTCAGTTAATAAGTGTAATTAATTTCCAGTCATCAAAAAATTCGAGGAATCATTTTCAAAATATTTGATATGCAGAATTTTATCGATTATATGTCAAGAATTTTCAATTTTGCATTGACATCTGTTATTGGATAAAAACAAACTATCTCATTGGAATACAAAATTGCAAATTCAAATTGACTCGTTGAATGAAACAAACGTTATCACGGTTGTCACTACACTTACTATTATCACCTTAAGCTAAGCTGCTCCACTATATTCCATTTAAAAAAGAGTGAAAAAAAAAATTAAGCAATTCATTTATTATAGATTAGTTTCGTGTTCTTCGATTATATCAATATTTATTTAACAATGAAGACATTATAGATATGATATGTTTAGCTATTGCAATTATATGGTGATAATATCAGTGATTACATGGTTACAGCAGAAATAATGACAATTGATAAAAGAGAGTCTTTTTCCTGCAAGAATTCTTCATTCATCTAAATTTTAAATATTAAAT